GCTTAAAGGCGCCGCGCCTCCCCTGCCCCTCCCCACCGAGTATGCGGGCGCGCTCGCGGTCCCGGGCACCCGGAGACCGGCGCCCCGGCTCTCGCCCCGCCCCCGCGCCGCCGCCTTCTCACTTTGCCCGGAGCTAGTTAAGACTCCCTTAGGGAGCCTAGCCAAAATGCCCTCCTGGGTCCTCTCCGCCCGCCCTCCCAGCTCTTCTGTGCCCAAGAGTGAAGGGCTGCCCTGGGGGCGTCCTGCGCCTTGCCCCCCTCCTCACAGTCACAGAAGGAGTTTTCCCGGGGATGGGGGAGGTAGGGGTCACGTTGAGCCAACCTCCCCTCCTCCCGCCAGCCAACCCCATTCATTCATTCTGTCAGCGAGTTCATTCAATAAATAGAAATCGAACGGCTACTACGTGCCAGGCACTGTGCTAGGCGGTCACCGTTTCATGTGACCGCATCGTTTCCATGATGGTCACAAACTCCAAGACCTGGAGGGAGGGTGGGGTCTCACCCCAGCAGGACTAATGGGGGCTCAGCACCTGGGCGACTGAAAGGACAGAAAGGCCTCGGGGCTGCGCCACTGTTCGCTAACGGGTAGAGGAATCCTGAAAAGGACCAGCTCTGGTAAGGGATCGCGGGCTCTTTAAGAAAGCTTTACAAGCGAAGTGGTGACAGGCGCCGAATGAAGTGCCACGTGACTTTTCCACAGGGGTGGGTGGGAGTGGAGCGCTTCTTTCTAATCTGCTTTCCTTCGCCTACCTTCCTCTCAGTGCACCAATAAACTGTCGCGGTAGGTGGGCACGCGCCAAATAGATGGCCAATCGCGGCCGAAGGAGGCGGTGGGGAAGGGAGATGGGTGGGCTCCGCGCGGGAAATAGGCGGGGCCTCCACTAATGCTGTGTATTGGCTTGGGAGGGCGGGGCCGGGGAGGTGAATGGAGCCGCAGGTAGCGTTAGAACAAAGCGGCTCGACTCCGGCAGCGCGCGTGCGCAAGACATTCCGCGCTTTCCCCACCGAGCATGGGTGGGTTGGCCGGGCGTGGGGAGGTTGTTGCTGGGCCTTGCCGTCCGCCTGGTCATTTCGCTGCCAGCGGGGTGCCCCCATCTCCTTGGTGCTTACGCCTTTTCTAGGCGGGTCAACTCTGAGCCACCAGCACCAGGGTAGGGGGACAGAGGGGGCAGATTGGTCGGGGCTGAAGGGGAGCGATGGTGCGTGAGATTTGCAAAGGGAGGGCCTATGGACCGGGAGGATTTGAGCATTCCACAGCATGAAGAGAGGCAGCCCAAGAACAGCCTCCCTCCAGCCTTCCATGTGAGGGATAGTTCACCTGAAGGGTTTTATCCTGGCCACAGGGCTGTGTTCAAAGGAGCAGAGGTCTCGTTTTTCCCAGAAACGCCACAGCAGTGCTGCCAGAAAGGATCTTATCAGCGGGGAAGGGATGCGCAGAGAGGGTAAAAGAGAACCGGTTCTCTGGCTCTAGTCCATGGTTGTCCGGCGGTACTGAGCAGAACCTGCTTCCACGGGTCCCAGACCCGGTAGAAAGAGCTTCCGGGTCTTCAGACCTAGCCTCTGCCCTGCTGTTTGCTGACCACGGGAGTCCCTGGGTGGTGCAAAACGTTAAGCGTTTGACTACTAGCTGAAAGGTTGGCAGTTAGAACCTACCCAGAGGCACCTCAGAAGACAGGCCTGACGATCTGCTTCTGAAAGGTCACAGCCTTGAAAACCCTATGGAGCAGTTCTACTCTGAACACATGGGGTCACCATGAGTTCAAATCGACTCTGACAACTAGCAACAACATTTGCTGACCTGTCGTCTGACTTGAGTATGGTTCATGCCTCTGGGCCTCTGTTTCCCCAATGCGGGAGAGTGCTGGTCTGGACCCTACCCAGCCAGTTAATCACAGAAATCTGTCCAACTGGGAGGACGTGCTTCTCTGAGACTGGGCCTCTTGGCTGGAGCCCAGGTGCTGGTTGTCAGGCATGGAGGCAGCACTCAAAAAAGAGGCCCGAGTAAACCCACCCGGTAGAGCCCCTTGCTGGCCAGTGAATCCTTCACTCAACAGGCCTTGCTGAGGGCCTACTGAGCATCAGGCACTGCCTGGAGCTGGAGCGCCAGCCATGGACACACCATCCTCCATGCAGTAGCCCTGAGCAGTTGGCGAAAGGTCCCGTCTGGGTGTTCCCCCAGGTCCATGGCAGGATGGTCCCAAGTTGTACTGTGCTCTGCTAACATGATCGCCCTCGTGTGGTAAGGCAAGCTGTTTAATGCCCAACACAGCAGGATGACATCCCTTGAGGGGCAGGTCAGAGTCGCATTATCAGGGTCATGCTGTCCTCCGGTGAGGCTGAGTCTCGTGGCTCACTGCACTGAGGTGTGCTTGTTTCCGAGAGGCTGGTGAGGAATGGGCTGCTGCTCTCTCTAGTGGGGTGCAACTGTAATGGGAACCTCCACTGTGCCCCCATGGCCCCCCTATCCATGCATGAGGAAAAACCATTCTGCAGAAGCTACAGCAGGCCTGCCAATCCCCACATTAGCTTCTGATCGCTCAGGGTGTATGACTCCTTTAGCGGGGGACATCCAGGGAGATCCAGGGGGAGGAGTGGAATTGGACAAAACCCTGAGAAGAAAGGGCCCTCCAGCAGGGATGTAAAGGGTGAAAAACAGGTCTTGGGTGAGCACAGGAGAAGGGTGACAGTGGGAGCAAAGGGGTGGCAGGAGAATTAGCCTGTGAGGTGCCAGCAGGGGCTCTGGGCCCCATCATCCAGGCTGGAGGAGAGGCCCAATGCCTCGGTTTCCACGTGGAAGTCCTGCCTCCAGTCTTGAACAGCTACACTTCATGAAGCAACACAATTCGTAAAATCATCACAGCCAGGCTACCCCAGTGAGGGAGGGCAGGGCAGGGGCGGGTGCAGAACCCTCAGACTTACAAGGCCCAGAGTGGGGCAGGAACTTGCCTGTCGTCAAACAGCAAGAGGGCAGAGCTGCCCCTGCCCAGGGCCTTGCCTTCACCTGTGGTCCTTCCTCAAGGATGCTGGGAGAAGGTTCCTGGGAGCAGGGTTTGAACTGGTTCAAACACCTGCTGAGAATTTGTATTTCTAACAAGTTCCCAGGAAGTTATACATAAGAATCACCTGGGCATCGTGTTAAAATGTGGATTCTGATTCAGTATATCTGGGGGTGGAAATTCAAATTCTCAGCAGAGGTTTGAACTGGAATGAACCGGTTCAAAGCCCTGCCTGGTAGAGGGGGTTTCCTGGCCAGAACCTAGCACTCTGGGTGAGGCCTAAGGATCAAAGACATTCCTCCTCAACAAGAATGTGGCCCTTCCTGCCCCCCAGGGTTCAGGTCTTCCCTCACCTGCAGCCCTCAGGACAGGTGCCCAGCTTACTAGGGCCCCTGAGGGGCAGCGTGAAGGGGTGGGAAGGGAGCCCCCAGAACAGGTTGGGAGCTGCAGGTGGGATATGTTCGCACTCCTCTGAGGGCTCTACATCTCTCTCTCATGCACACCCTCAGGCCAGGCCTTTGCACAAGCTATTTGCTTGGCCTGGATGCTTTTTGCCCCACCCTTCTGATCTTTTTGCCCTTATCCTTAGGAAGGTCTCCTCTGAGCCCTCAGGCTAAATTAACTCCCCTGCTCCATGCTTCCGTTGTCCTCCCCCATCTTTGCTCTGCCCTCTCTCACACTCACTCTTCAACATCCCCCCTGCCAGGCTTTCTCCCTTTGGAAGCCAATGGCATGTCTGCTCCTCCCCAAGCATGCTCCTCCCCTGCCATCCTGTTTCATCTCAGAAAATGACTAGTCCCTATTCACCCAGGTGCCAGGCCCAAGCCCCCAAGGCATGTTTGGAGCTGCCTTTCCTCTCTGCACATATCCAGCCCAAGAACCGCACAGAGAAGGGGTCTTCCCGGCAAGGCAAGGCCTGCCTGCGACGGTGGGACATGTCATGGCCCTTTGTTGTTCCTCTGGGAGGAGTGGAGTGTCCCCAAGAGAAGATGTGCACCCCGCACCCCAGCCCCCCACCCCCACACATCCAAATGGCTTGGTGATGCAAGAGCTGTGTCACTAAGAACAGTTTAACCAACTTGGAAATAGACTTTCTTTTTCCCACTGGTGCCCATGGACTTATCGAAAATGGGCTGCTATGCTTCAAATGGCACATGCTGTGTTTCAAATGGCACAAGACCTTGTGGCATAGTGGTTAAATGCTCAGCTACTAACTGAAAGGTGGGCTATTCGAACCCACCAGCTGCTCTGTGGGAGAAAAATGTAGCAGTCTGCTTCCTTAAAGATTACAACCTTGGAAGCCCTATGGGGCAGCTTTACTCTGTCCTATAGGGTCGCTATGAGTCAGAATCGACTGGACGGCAATGGGTTTTGGTTTACGCCAGGGGAGTTGGTTTCTCAGCCTCCTGGTCGTATGAGGAGCCCACTGGCTAGCATAAAGTTAGGGTGTGCTCCTGCTTGCTGCCAGAGGCCAACTTTCTAACATGGGTGCATCTCACATCCCCAGTAAGAGGTAAGCAGGGTGTGATGGTTAAGGTTGTTGTCAACTTGGCTAGGCCATGATTCTCAGTGGTTTGGCAGTTACGTAATGAGGTAATTTGGCAGTTATGTAATGATATAGTTATCCTGTATTTTGTGATATAATGTAATTACCTCCATGATGTGATCAGATGTGATCAGCCAATCAGTTGTAAGGGGAG